CCGTTCATCGACTTCTTCACGTATGAGAAGCTCATACATCCCGTCACTAACAGACCGGAACCGAAGGCCAGTTTCATCCCATCGTTGTCTGAGAAGCGAAAGATCAGCAAATTGGTGGCCGCCATCAAAATGGGTCGACTCAAACCCAGACCTCCCAAACCAAAGGACGGACCCTTTGTTTTCAATTATGATTTGTGGGAAAAGCCGATCGCCGACCGAAATAAGCGAATCGATCGCTACATACCGGCGCCCAAACTTAAACCTCCCGGTCATGAAGAGTCATATAATCCTCCGCCAGAATACCTGTTCACTGACGAGGAAGAGAAGAAATGGTCAGAACAAGAGCCAGAAGAACGGAAAATCAATTTTATTCCTCAGAGTTATTCGTGTCTACGAAGAGTTCCCGCGTATTCCAAGTTTGTTAACGAACGCTATGAACGACTCCTTGACCTCTATCTCTGCCCTCGCGCTCACAAATTGAGAGCAAATGTCAATCCAGAGGATCTGATTCCCAAACTTCCGCGTCCTCGAGATCTACAGCCTTTCCCATCAATTCAGTCATTGATATACAGCGGACATAAGGATGTCGTTCGCTGTCTAAGTGTTGAGCCTAACGGACAGTTTATAGCTTCAGGAAGTGATGACTGCACTGTTAGGATATGGGAAGTCCTGACCACAAGAACTATGAATGTAATGAAATTTAGTAGCGGTGTTACTGACATCAAGTGGTGTCCCGATAGATCCAAGTGCTTGTGTGCGGTCGCTGTCGGCAAAGATCTATTCATAATAAACCCAAAAGTGGGCGAAAAGTTTGTGATCACCGAAACTGATCTGTTGTTTAAGTCGAATGTCGATTCAAATGAGAACACGAAGAGTGAATCAACCGATCATTCGATAGTCGACTGGAAAACCATCGAAGAAAGCGAAACAAGTGATGAGTGGAAGAATGGCATCAGAATTGTAATTAAGCACAGGTTTGACATCAAGCAAGTGGTCTGGCATTACGGCGGTGATTATTTCGCATCAGTGATGCCCAGCGGCGCCAATAAGTCTGTTGTGATCCATCACTTGTCCAAAAGGAAGTCTCAGGTAATCGACAGTGAATTGAAGTAATGTCTGAAAATTATTAACCAATATTTGAACGATAGGTTCCCTTCAAGAAGTCCAACGGAATAATACAATGCGTTTTGTTTCATCCAACGCGTCCATACTTCTTCGTCGCCACCAACAGAGCGCTTCGGATCTATAATTTGGTTAAACAGGAAATGTCCAAAAAATTGTTACCCAATTGTAATGAGATCTCCAGTATTGCTGTACATCCAGAAGGTATGAATACAATAGAAAAACTTCAAGAAGTGGAATGTATTTACAATTTATTTAATTTACTGTAAAATCAGGCGATAATGTAATTGTTGGCAGTTATGACCTGAGGCTCAGTTGGTTTGATTTGGACCTATCGACCAAACCATACAAAACACTCAGATATCATA